GGCTCATAAGAGTGCTTTTTTTTTTCCTTCTAATTACATTCTTTAATTATTATTTTTTAATTTTTTTGGTTACAATATATATCCAGCTAAATAATAAATTTTAAAAACTAAAATTATTAGACTCAATAAGATTTTTAGACTCAATAAGATCCATAATCTGGGTTGCATGTTTGACGGATTAAACCATAAAATATGGTCTATCCAATATATTTTATTTTATTTTAATTATTTTTTTAAAAAATATCTATTGTGTAACATATATTCAAATAAAGAATAAATTAATTTTTTTTTTATCTAATATCATGGAGTTCATGATCTAGATCATAGGTTTCACGGGTCAAGTTACAAAATGAAGTTTGATCCATTATATTATTGTTTTAATATATTTTTAAATATATAATGAATTAGTCTTCGTATAATGTTTCATTTCAATCCATGTATGATTAATTGGTTATGATTTACTTTTTAATGTGTTATCATAATTTTAAGACCTGATTAGAGGGTTTGACAAATTAATCAAAATTAATATAGATTTATTTAATATATTATCATTTTAATTTTTTTTTGAATCCGCATTCTTAGGTTATTTGCATTAAAAAAATCAAATCTGATTCTTAACATAAAGGGGCCAATAATTTAGTTTTCAAAATTGAATGTAAACAGATTTTTTTCCTCTAATTTAAATCCTTCTTTCTTCCTTCTTCTTTTATGATAGGGCAGCTATCAATCAAAGGTTATTAAGAGTACTATTGTTTAACACTCGCACAATCAATTGATGGAGCTATCAACCCCTCCCCCCCTTGATGGTTTAACGAGCTGAACTACAAGCTCTTATGGTTGGCTCATCCTCATTCTTCTTTTCTTTTTTTTCACTTGTAAAATAGAGATTCGAACTCAAATTTTTTTTTAGAGATAGAAAAATAGCGTTATTTGAATTATAAAGTCGTTTGCGGCTGATCCTTCTTCTTGAATGTTCATTTGAGAAACTCATGAATTTCTTTTCTTAGGTTTCCAAGTCCACAATTTTTTGTTTTTGTTTTTGGAGACTTCTTTATTACCCAAGCGATCAACTTTATGTCTATCAAGATGCAAGAGAGACATAATATGTTTGCATGTAATGTGTGCAGATAATCTTTATCCAGACAACCAATGGGCTTGCCCGTTGGTGCTCTTACAAAACAAGCACCGCTAAAACTGGGATTTTAATCTTAACTTCAGAATCCAAAGCCAAATGCATCATTATTCTAAAGACTGATAAATAAATAAATAAAACGTATGCGTAGGCTGGAAAAGACATGAACATGGATAAGACCATAGAGAGAAGCTAATCAGATTACATGAGTTTCGTTTCCAAAATGACAAAGAATCTAATAACCAGTCCTTATCAATGGAGTTCTGCACTCAAACGGCAAGTGTGTTGTCATCGTCTTGATTAATGATGCCAAATTAAGCAGTTGACACTATTCCATCTCCCTCCCCCCTCTTGGTTAGGTCAACATTTTGGATTGCTGCGACATGACTATGCTGGACTTCATTATATTCCACATTCTAGGGCAGAAAACTTTTACCCATGACAATTTTTTTTCTCTCTTTTTTGTATTACTATGCAGATTCCTCATTCACTACGAGACAAAGTTGTTGAAACACAGCTTCCCATCAGGGTTCAAAATACAAGATAAACTCAAGTCTAGAAGATGTCAGCTTAATTGGCGATTTCATATGCATATTCTCCACGTTATCATTTACAGTTCTTCAATGGAATTATGACGAGACCTTATTCGATCCAGAGGTGGATTAATTACATAGAAAATATGATCACATTATTGATAATTAATATTAAATCGGATATTGTTGGTTGCCTTATTTGGAATTTCGGTTGCTTACGTTTTTAGTTATCTTTTAAAAATGCATTTGTTTAAAACATATATCAAATTATACTTTTTTAATTTATAACCTTTTGATTTGTTAATATAAAAGATAAAAAAAAATTTAAAAAAATTTTCAAATAAAAAAACTTTTTAAAAACACAACACCAAACAAACTATTAATTCATAAAGTTTTGAAAAGTACCCATCAAGTATATTTTATAAATAAATGAGTGAGCAAAAACTGTTGTTAAAGAAATCATTAGAGAGTTAATTTATGCTGGTTGGCGGGCGAGGCTTTCGTTCCCTTGAAGCTAACATCACAAAGTGACATGAGAACAAGGCACTAACAAGCAATCAACTAAGTTTGTTGTGGCCTTGTGCCCCAAAAGGAAATGCCAGTTGGTGCCCGGAAAGAATAATGATAGAATGAAAGGGCAAACTTCAAATACATTATTACAGTGAAGCTCAATTAATTCATAATTTTCTTGCCAATTAAGACTCTAATTGTTTAGATATTGTCAATTGAGTCCTTCCATCTCAAATTATTATAATTTTTATTTGTTAAAAACAAATTCCAGATAAACGAGCTACTTCTTTACTGAAGAAAATGCACACTCTCGAACATAACCCACTAGCGATATGAATTAAGGACTTCATTAAATATTCTTAAACCTTTAGGGACCAAATCAAAAACAAATTATTGAGATACGGGTTGTAAGTTTTTGGGGATTAATTTTTTTATTTCTTAAATCATACCAAATGTTATAGGATTCTTTTTATCTTTTTACTATTTGTGGGTTATCAGAAAATGACAGGAGGACCAAACTGAAATAGAAATGTTAAATGATATAAAATTAACGTTTGAATTTGCGCCTCATTGGAAGCATATATTTATCAATTACATATTTTTTGGATCAGGTCCCCCCAGATGATTTGACAAATAGCATTTTTTTAAACTATTTTCTATTACACGAAAATAGCAGTTGGATATTTTTAAATAATGTATTACTCATCCAACTAGAATGGAAGGATATTGAGCCGAAAGAGCTTGATCAAGGAAATATATACATTCGAGAGGCATGTGCCATCAAGATCATAAATCAAATTATACTTGATTTCTTTTCTTTTTTTTGCTCTGAATACCTAGTTTCCTATGACCAAAAAATAAATACCGAGTGACTGGGAGACCATAAATTAAAATGTTGATGGTTCTGAAAGGGGAATGTTCTTGTTCCTCTGACGTAAAATTAATATCATCTCATGCATTGAGTGAGAAGCCATGGTGTCACTTTCAAAAATACTGTAGCATGGAATGACACATGGGAAGTCAAAACCCCATCTTACCTGCGGATTAATCTTTGAAATATCCTCTTTTCTTGTTTTTGGGAGAACAAGAGCTTGTGAAATTGAAGCCGAACGCTATGGCGGTTGATTTTCTAAAATTATTGCTCTGTCAAATCTCTTGAATATTATTGCCTGCAGAATCTCACCCTCTCCTTCCTTTTCTGTAGGCCGGAATCTTTCAAACTTCTTCTTAAAAAAATCTTAGAATATAAATCTTTGATGACAAGAGCAGAATAGTACGTAGTTATAATATTCATAGGATAGAAGTTGAACAAATTAAGCATAATTGATAATTATTCTTGTCAAAGTTTTTGTTAGTCTACAAAACCGTATTTAAAAATAGATATAATCTAATTATATTCAATCCATGGCTGTCTAAGGCTGCCTAAATGACTGATCAATGAGGTGCATCTGTTGCCTAACACCTCGATATATATATATATATATCAAAGCTTCTCCCTCCGATTTAGAGCTGTTGACAGATATCTACAAATGAAGGACAGTTCAATCTTTGTTATATTATTACCCTAAGCATAAACAAACATGCCAACAACCTGCGTTTGCAACATAATATTTGTCAAGTAATCTAGCTGTAGCCTCCTGCTAATTAACAACGCATGACGTACTAAATCCAATATTTCATAATGTCTCAAGGTATCAAATAATAGAAAAAAACTTTCATTAGCATCAACCCCACCATTAACTAATCCTTGTTTCTTGTCTTCCACTCCTCCTTTTTGCCGATGCTGAAATTGTAATCAAGCACCCCATGTGCATGCGACTGCGAGCTAGCTATATATGTTTCTTCTTCTTCTACTTCTTCTTCTCCAAATCTCCACCTTATTTTTCTTGAAATATATATATATATATATATATATATATTATTGTATATTTTCAGAACCCCATTTATTACGCATGTAAGTATGTTTGCCATCCCCTTAATTTGTATGTTCGAGCATCCCATCGATCTAATTATTTTACAATGACTCGGCAACTCAAAAACACCACGAGTTAATATTTATAATGGAATGTAATCATTTAATTTGTAGGAAGAGGCTCTAATTTATTTGAAGGTAAAATCCTCAATTAAACTATGATCAAGTTGATCGAGTAATTAAAATGATTTGGAACTCTAATATTGATATTTATATTTCTTTTCTTCAATAAATTCTGGGTTAAAATCTCTTAAATATTGAAAACAAAATGAGATTGCATAATTTATTTAAATAACGTTATCAAATTTAAGAAAAACTAAACATGCATATAAAAGATAAAATATAAAACATTACTCATTTTATATATACAGTTGATGTACACACATATAATACAGGAATAAGTATAAACAATTAACGATTAAATGACCGAATTCAATTAATTCAATCCCATTAATCACCGTAGAAAAATGGTACAAACGCAATCAATCAATAAAAAAATAAAATTAAAGATTCATAAAAATGCAAATTGAAGATGAATGTTGGAATATCATGACCATGGACTAGAGCTGTCGAATCAAAAGGTTTTAATTTGTTTGCTTGAGGAGGAGGAGGAGGAGGAGCGGGGTTAGTCATTGACGGCGTGAAAGTAGCAGTACCAGCGGAGCCACGTGAGAAGCCAAAGAAAGAGACATATTTTGTTACACGTCACCATCAACATTTGAGTGAGGACCCACTTCTCATATCGGCTACCTTTCGTTGAGGTTGATTGCCAACTGGCATCTCCACCTTATTTTATCCTTCCCTTCCCTTGTTTATTTACAAAACCACCCTTTCTTTCAATCATGTCTACCCGGATTTGTGGACATTCATAGCCCTGCATGGACTGTCCTTTGGTAGGGAAGCAGAGGGTCAGAGAGGGTCATTAGCATGGTGGGAATGACTAAGCTGGTATTTATGGTAATTTAGTTGGAAAACAAGGGGTTGTTTTGTTACAAGTGTATCTATATGATGCCATGCTCTTTAGCATCATGTTCCTTTAACCCGGAGGCATTACACACAGTTCGAAAGTAAGTGAGAAAATATACACACAGACTCGTTGGGCTACTTCATCAACTTTGCTTCTTTAGATTATTCACACACATACGTTTTTGTTGGATAGATTTTGTTGTTTGGATTAATCTGTTGAGTTGAGACAAGAGAGAAATGGGGTATTGGAAATCAAAGGTTCTTCCAAAGATCAAGAAGGTTTTTGAGAAGGACAGTGCCAAGAAGGCAGCTGCAGCTGAAGCTTGCAAGACCTTTGATGAATCGAAGGTCCTCGTTCTAACTTGAATTTAAACTCTTGGTTTCTTCTTTTTTCGACAGGAATATTATAACTAGCAAGAAAGAAGCTTACAAAATATTTACTATGTTAATTGAAGCATGTAGATGTACTGCTGTGTATCTGTTTTATAATGAACTTGCAATATCTTTCTTGCTTTAATTAATAGGAAGAAATCAGTAAGGAGTTTGAAGAGAAGAAGACTGAACTTGAATCTAAAGTGACAGAAATCTATGAAGCTTCATCAGCTGAAATCAAGGTCAGTCAATCACACTCGCACAAATAAATCTAGCTACCTATACATTTATACATGAAACAAAATACTAACATGATCTTGTAAATATATAATTAACCTGAAACAGACCTTAGTTAAGGATCCCAAAGAAGCAGGATTAAAGAAGCAATCTACTTCAGTTCAAAAGTTCCTTGATGAGCTTGTTAAAATCGGTATGTATATAGAAAATATACCCTCTCCTCCTCCCTTAGCTTCTTTCAAGATTTAATAAGCGTTAATTTTTTTTACCATTGCCACCTCTATTTACTTTGCTGTATTTCTGCATGCACAGAGTTTCCAGGATCAAAACTAGTATCTGAAGTATCTTCAAAATATGGACCAGTCTATGTTCCGGGTCCTATTTTCTTCGTCTTTGAAAAAGTCTCAACCTTTATTCCGGTAGAGGAAAAGGCAGTCGAGGCACCAGCACCCGAAACAAAAACCGAGGAAGCAACTACTAGCACAGAGAAGGAGATAGTAGTTGAGGAAGAGAAGAAAGAAGAGGCAGTAGTAGCGGAGGCTTCGGAGAAGACTGAACCACCTCCAGCTGTGGCTGAAACACCTGCCAAGGTGGAGGAAGCAGAGCCACCAAAGCCGTGACTCGTCATCAAGAAGTAATTAATTAAATCCCGTCTTTGTGAAAAAAAGGTTACATGCAGTAAAAAGAAAAAAAAAGAACATTTGTTATTCTTTATGAATATGTATCCTTAATTTCCTTGTAAGTTTGGATCATATATTTCTGTGTGTGTTGTTTTTTTTTTTTTTTGAAATTGTAATATTAATTTACTATCTAGAGAAGTGGTGGGGTACATTACTCGGTTTCTTCTTCATATTTTTTTTTTAAAGCAATTGAATTTTTTTGAATAGGATCATAAATAATTGTTCTCTCCCGCTTTACGTCTGCTTGCCTGTTTGTCTAATTATATATTAATGTAGGATGATACACGTCATTTTCTATTGTGTCAAGCTTGACAAAGAACAAAATATTATTTCTTGCTTTATGTTGGGGTTTTAAAAATAGCATGGAAAGAAAAATGCCAATCATTGAAATTAAAAGCTTGGAGGAATAGTTATTTACAGCTTATATTAGCATTTAATATCATATTAATTTTAAAAAATGGAGTGATTATATAAGTTCCCCTTGCTTTGGCCTCCATTGCTGAGGTTCATTTATACATATAAGAAGGAAGATATTAATTTTATTAACAAATAAACTGCTAGCAAATAATACACATTTCTTACTATTTTTGGAGCCTGGATGGATGGATTGCTTCTGTGACTCTGAGCACTACAGCTATATATTTTGATTTCACTTTTTGGACAGGGCTAAGCACCCTCTGAAGACTAGATTGTGTGTCTGAAAACCATATTGTATGAGCTCATGAATTATTAGGACAGATCAGGTCTGTTGTTATAAAATCTTGTTGTTTGTCGTTTAATTATATATCTGGGCCTTTTCTTACGTCGACCACGCGATCGACCAGCTTGGGTACACATTGTTTGTGCGTTCCAGTTTTCTGAAAGCCAAAAAAGAACAAGGAAAAAATAATTGTTTTTGTATTTGCAATTAAGGCCCATTTATTAATTAAATAAGGGTAGTTTAGAAGATATATATTCAAAAATTAAAAACAACAACTTCAGTGTTTAAAAAATCAGGATCTTCTCTTTTGTCAAACATAAAGACAGAGATGTAAGAGAAGGCTTGAACGATGATCAAGATACTCCTATATATTTAGTCAATTTTAAGGTAATTTTTTTGTCTATCTCTATCGTGTAATTAGATTAGATTAGATTCTTGCATGCTTATTATATTAGGGTGATTAATAGAAATAGAAGTTATTATTTTTTATTTGGCTTAGTTTTCAAAAAATAAAAAAACAACCAAACCAATTCTTTTTAAAATTTTAAAACTGAAACCAATTTAAACCAATATTTTTTTATTAGGTTTAGTTATTTAAGGTTCAAAATTGGGGAAAATATATTATAATTGCTTAGGGTTTTTTTTTTGAATTTTGGTTGTAAAAAACGTATTCTAATGGTCTAGTTTTTCTTTAATCCATTAATGGTAGAAGAAATTTCACAACACACAAGTGGTTTATAAAATTCAAATTTGCAAAGCATTAGAAACTTGACAAATAAAGAAATTTATTGCCATTAAAAGTGTTAAAAAGAAACAACATTGAAGCCGATATTGTCAAAAAAAAAAAAACACTACTTCAAGAGCACAGATCTTCAATTTTCATTGTGCAGATCATCCCAGCCGAGAAGTACATTAAGTACATTGTTGAAAGATTCTTTAGTAGACATCAAAACTTTCCATGCAACAAAACTGCAAGTCAAAATTCAACAACTATAAATATTACGGCATAAAATGATTATAACATGATTTTTTTTTCCCATCATCTAAATTAATTATACAGGAAATCAAAATCTAGTCATGAGACTAAATACCTACAATGAAATTTCAACACTATTTAGTTAGGAATTGCATTTAAAGAGGGAGTCCATGCATAAATAATTAAATCCAATATATGCTACATTAAAATCCAATGCATGCTCCATTTGGCTGTCATTGAGTTACAGAAAGGTGTCAAAAAATTTCAAATCTGAATGGGATGCTTGAACCTTAACATACATACCATCTAATGACAATTGACAGGCACTTCTTCTGCAAGAGACGAGGGGGTTCAACAATGGGATTGCTTTACCGGCCTTTTCTCTTCCAGATGCAACTACTACTAATAAATGGCCATATCTGAAACATTGTAGTAAAACAGTTAATCAAAGAAAGAAAAGGTATGTTTACTAACAGGAACTAAGAAGTGTAAAATGGAAAATTCGTACTGCAAATACCAACAAGTCTGGGGACCATTAGCTATACACACCACAACCCTGTCATTTTCATATGAACACATGAAAATAGAATTTGAGATCGAGACGACAGCTGGGAAGAGGAGTCACTACGAGCAAATACATAACAAAGTAAAAATCTCAGATTAAGAGTTTGATAAAAAGGGAAATTAAAGAGAACCCATTGGAGTCTTTGGATCTTACCAAAGCAACAGCGAGAAGAAAATGTTCTGGGTGGTGCTGCTGCGGAGAAGGGACAATATAAGCTGAAGGGTGGGTTCAATAAGAATGATTTAGGGTAACATATATATTTTTTGGACGGTAGTTTCAACCTTTGAAACCAAAACAAACCAAATATTTTTTAAAATTCTTTAATCAATTTAATATGTTTTTTTCTTGGTTTGATTTTTTTTATTTTTTCGATTTTCTTGGTTTAGAAAAATTAAGATTTTGGAAAGTTAATACAAAAGTAAAGCTAATTCAAATACACCCTCCACATATTTAAACGTTCTGACATCAAATCAAATGTTAGGATGGGATATATACTCAGGGATTGGTTTGTTCTTGTCTTTTAACACCAAACTCTAACCACCTGTTACTAATTAAGAGCTCATTGACTTCGGCCCTAGGTGCTCTTTCCTGAAAGGAAAAGGTATATATATCAGGGCTCTGCGAGACTGAAAATAAACCAACGACAATGCACTACATGTGAAATTGACTTTTAATCAAGTAAATGCAGGCCTTCTGGGAAGAGGTTTGAAGCAATAGAACTTGTAGAGAAACGGAAGGTCCGGGGCATTTTAACGAAAATTCTCCACAAGTAAATAGGAAAATGCTACGTCCAGATTATTATTTGAATGGCCTAATATATAGTTTTATAGATTATTGTTATAGATTTAAATTCAAGGAAAGATCTATCACACCAGATTATAATAATTGCTAAAAAAAATTCATTATAAAATATCTAACCGTTAAACCAAGCTTAAATCTGATCAAATACATGACAAATTTAATAAAAAAATCACAATCCACAGTGTGTGAGCCCAGCTACCCTTGGACAAATCTTTTGAACTGCCCAGTGGGCCATATATGCTGCGGCTGCAAACTAATCTGAGAATGGCTCCTAGCCCGATCATCAGAATAAATTTAACAATTGCTTGGTGGGTATGGCAACTGTAATCCTACACTGCAAAAGCTCTCTCTCACGCATCATCTTCCTGAGATCTGAGAAAGCACATATCAAAGCAAAGCAGATATAAGATGAACGAAAACTTTTCGCAAAACTATAAAAGAGGAATTTAAAAATATTTTTTAAAAAATTATTATTATTATTATTATATATCTAACAAGTAGAGTCTTAGGCAATCTTCATTTTATATATCTAACAGTGTTGTAAGCAAACCTGGTATGTCTAGTTTTGTCATAACATATAAAAGCATTTGCCATAAACCAAAAGCATTAATGGACAGGAACAGATCATAAATGCCGTGATCTTGATAGAATGATCTTCAGAAGCAGTTCGGACTCAATAAATCAATGCATCTGATATCAGAGGAAGAAAAGAAGTTTTCCTCCACCCAGGTTGCCGACAAGGGACTCGTGAAGTTTTTCAACAATGAGATCCATGGATTCTAAAATATCTCGAAGAGAGGTCTACAATATAACTCTCAAATGCAAAAATGGTAAGGGTAACCATGCTGTTGAAATCTCCTTTGCATCCAGTTGAATATCAGAATCACGCCAAAACTTGATGATGTGAAGGCTCTCTTCTTCTGTTGATCTCTGGACAACAATTCTAGAAGCATACCCCTTCTTTCTCATCAGAAGACATATATGTGAGGATCATTGTTTTAAGGGTAACCATGTATAACCATCCCTTATCTGGAAAAAGTCTATCTGCAACAGGCAAAATCCTATCAATTACACTCCTGCCATTCTTCCCTCCAACCCACGTCGAGGCCATTCCTTCATGATCAGCCTCGTCATCAGGCGTTGTCAGTACATATGGTGGGTTGACAACCATCACAACCACCATCCCAGACAACCTCTTCTCAAGCCTGGATGCAATATCCACGCACATCAAGTCAGCATCAACACCATGAGCATCCAACTTCTCAAGGGTCACTCTCAATGCATGAGGATTAATATCAATGGACACCCCTGGAACTTCCTATCCAAGCAAGAATGGAGCAAGAAATTTTTTCTATGCTGGACTATTAAATAAATATATAAATATTTTTTAAGATTAATTATTAATTTATATACATGAATTTTTAAAGTTAACATTAAAGTTTTAATTTAAATATATTATCTAAAATATTAAAAAATAAATTTAAAAGTACATAAAATTAAAATAAAAATAAAAATAAATTTACTATTAAAGTTACATCCTTTGATATTTTGTGAAATATAATTCATCTATAATCAAATCTAAATTGATATTGTAATAACCCTTCAATCAGAATAAAATAATAATCTTATATTAATTGAAAAACAAAGTAATTAAATTTTTTTCTCTTTCAATTCCTCTATCCTTCACTTGATTCTTTTTTTGATTAGTGTTTTATAAATTGGACTTTGCAAGTTTACAAAGTTATTCTCTTATTTTTTTTTTCTTTGATTTTTTATGTTTTCCCTTACTTTTCTCTCTAACCATTTCTTTTCTTTCTTTTTTTATTTTGCTTTTGCCTAGTCGGTAACATATAAAAGGAAGGAAGAGCTGATTTATTTTATTTTTTAATGGCAAATAACCATTTTACTTTCAATGAGTCGTTTTGTTTTTATTTGACGGTTTTTTTGTTAGCATTACCAAGTTTCATTTATTCTAAAATTTTAAGCAGATTTTATTAAATATATTTTAAGATTCTTTGTAAAATTTCAGCTCAATTTGATAGTCAGATTGAAAATTACGCCCAATAACATATGTCAAATTGGTTAAATTGTAATTTTTCATCAAATTTATAAATTTATCAAAAAAAAT